CCGGGAGGAGGCCGCGCCCCCGGCCGGTGGTCCCTTTGGTCGCCTTGACTCATGATCAAAGTTGCAGTCAAGGCTTTAGACGTGGAGGCTTTCATAATGCTCGGGATTGTGGGGAAGGGGGACGGGAGTGGAGTAGCAGGACCCCCAAAGCTTTCAACCTTGGAGACAGGGGGGCCCCAGCTCTGCAGGGCCTGGACGGGGCTCGTCTGCAGTACCCGCTCCTATTTCTTGAACTCCACGGGGGTAAGTGAGGCTATGTAGTAGAGACTGCGACCAGAGACGTAGAACAACATGTGTAGGAATTGTTGAATGCTTTTACAACAAAAAGTTGTAAAAAGAAAAAAAGAGTAAAATGAAAAAGGATGGGTGTGAACACCCGAGCCCCAGCAGGTTGATCTGTGTGTGCCATGGTCTTTAGGTGGAGCCCGGGCAGCGGGAAGCCGCCACCTCATGGCCTAGTTCATCCAGGCCACTGACCTCGCTGCTTCTCCCCCTCAGGTTTTTGCTGTTCGGTCTGGTGGAGCCACTGGGGTGGTCGTCAAAGGACCAGATGACCGGAACCCCATTTCCTTTAGGTACCAGTCTTCAGAATAACCATAGCATGCAAACAGAGGGGTGGTTTTCCGTCTCAGGGTCAGAAGATTGCTTTTGAAATTGTGTCCTTTGCCTGCCTTCCCCTGAGCTGTTTGTGTGTGTGTGTGTGTGTGTGTGTGTGTGTGTGTGTGTGTGAGAGAGAGAGAGAGAGAGAAAGAGAGAGAGAGAGAGAGAGAGATCTCATTTGTGGGGCCAGGGAAGCAGGCAGAGGTTGTGCAGGCTTGGAGGTAGGTGCTAGGGCTTGCTGTTGGTGTGACATGCATGGCGAGCTTCCTGTTTATAGCTGAAGCCAAATCTTTTTCAAAGGAGGGTGCCTACTGCCTGGCACTGGGAACGAGCAAGTCAGGGCATTGTGTGCCCATGTCTGGTTGGGTTCGTTTCCCTGGCAGAGCGTTTGGTTTCATTATAAAGAACAGCCCTTTCACGTTCAGCAGGAGCCCTGGCGGTGGCCTGCTAAAGATGAGATCAGCTGTTCAAACCCACCCGCTTCTCCCACGGAGACAGATGAGGCTCCCCGTGCCAGTGAAGCTTTGGGTTCAGTCTCAGAAAGCCGAAGGAGCAGTTCTACCCTCACCTGTCGGGTCACTATGAGTCAAACTGACGGCGTGGCAGTGGGTCTGCTTGTCTTGGTTTACTTTCAGAAATGTCTTGCTATAGAGGTGATAAAATAGCTGGTCATCTTACCTCCTGAGATTACAGAAAAGTACAAGGTTAGGCCTTCAATTCAATGACTTAAATTTTCTTTTTTTAACAGTTGGCCTGTGTTAATAGGAAGTAGCTTTTGAAGTAGAAAAAGGAACCAACCCCTTTGCTTGTTTTGTCGTTCGTTAGGCAAATGCTTATGACAGCTCCTGCCCCACGCACCAGGCACATGAACCATTTGGGACGAGTCTGGCATCTGTTAGAAGGACCCCTGGTGGCAATCTGGCTTAAGTGTTGGGTGGCAACCACAGGATTTGGAGGTTCAAGACCACCCACTACTCCACAGGAGAAAGATGAGGTGATCCGCTCCCAGAAAGATTTACAGTTTTGGAAACAAGTCAGAATCAACTCACTCAATGGCGGTGGGTTTTGGGTTAGTCCGTTTAGAAGAACTCATAAAGATGACAGTAGGAGATCTGTGAATGGACCGGTATTGTGCGATAGGAGCTGTGTTAGAGCTTTGTTCAAAGGGTTGTGGGAGCCCACCAGGGGTATCCTGGGCTGGAGATGTGGACAGGGCTTCTAGGTCAAAGGAGCCCCAAGTGCAAAGCCCCGAGCAGATTATTGGGGAGCTCCACATGGGTGGGGCTGAAGATCAGGGTGCCCATGGGGAGGGTGCTGGTGGCTGCTAGCTGAGCTGGCTTGACTATATATTTCTCTGGAATCAGGACTTTATCTTGATATTGAGAATTTGCCAGGTGCAGTGTGAGCATCAGGATTTGGGGTGATTGGTTTGCAGCATTGGGGGTAGACTGCAACTTGTCAGCGTCCAACCAAACCAACCCCCCCACCCACCAAAAAAAAACAACAAAACAGTGCAACAACCAAACCCACTGCCACCGAGTTGATCCTGCCTCCTAGCGAGCCCCTAGGGCAGAGCAGAACTGCCCAGTGGGTTTCTCAGACTGTTAACCTTTATGGGAGAAGACAGCCTCTTCTTTCTCCCATGGAGCGACTGGTGAGTTTGAACTGCCAGCCTCACAGTTAGCTGCCCAATGCTTATTCCACAGCCCCATTAACATAGTTTCAGTAGCCTGGGGAGAGGTGGTGGAGACCGGAACTTTGACTGCTGATGGGCACTACATAGGCAGTTAAGGGTGCTGTAGGCGAGATGCGTTGGTCAGTAGATGTTGAAAATGGAGCAACCCTGTGAGGCTGTAGGTCTGGGGCTCAGGGTGTGAAGATGATGATAGTGACCTTTGTCATTTTTAAGCTTTTTAGGAGTTATAAAGACCCCTAGGAGCCTTGGTGGCTTAGTGATTACACGTTAGGCTTCAATCCACAAGGTCAGTAGTTCAAAACCCCAGTCTGTCCTATAATGTAGCGTTGCTATGGCAGTGAGTTTGGTTGGGTTTTTCGAGTGGTGCTGCGGGATAGCTTTGGATTGCTAACCACAAGATCGGTGCTTCAGATTGCAAGCCAAAACAACAGCAACAAAATTCACTGCTATTGAGTTGATTCTAACTCACAGCTACCTTGTAGGACAGTAGAACTGCCTCCTTGGGATTTTAGATTGCAAATCTTTACGGAATGAGAAAGGCTCATCTCTCCTCTGCAGAGCGGCTGGTGGTTTTGTTTTACGTGGCTGACCATTCGGTTAGCAGTTAGCAGCCCAAGGCAGAACACACTGTGCCACCAGGGATCCTCTGCGGAGAGGAAGGAACCTTTGCTATCAGTTGGAACTGACTCAATGGTAGTGGGTCTTTGGGGGTTTAACAGGGTATAGTTGACACAGGATTAATGTACATATTTAACTCATAGTGTGTTGAATTTTGAATAAAGAGACCTTCACCACAATTGAGATAATGAGCATATTCGTAGCCCCAAAAGTTTCCCTTGAATTTGCGTGTGAACATGGTGTGAGGCGGCTGTGAGGCTCAGTCTGTGGGTGGCGCCAGCCGGAGCACTGGCCGGTTGGGTGTGCATGTCAATGAGACTGCGCTGTGGACTCCTCCTTCCAGAAGCTGTGCTGGGAGGAGCGACGCAGAGGGTGGCAGTCATTCTGCTGAAGGTTATTGTGTGGAGCTACATGGTACACACCCAAGCCACACTGCCGTCATGTTGATTGTGACAGGCACCTGAGGGCTTCTGAGACTCGGATTCTTTATGGGAGCAAATAGCCTCATCCTCCTCCCTTGGAGTGGCTGGTGAGCTTGCACCTCTGACCTTGTAGTTAGGAACCCAGTACCCAACTCCAGGGTTCCTTGTGTACATGTAGACGTGTGTCTAAGATAACTCTCGAATACTGCTGTATTGTGATGCCTGTTTTTTCGTTGCTTATAATACCAAAAATTGTTCCAGCATGCTGTCTGCCAGCTGCATTTTGTTACAAGGACATTCTACTAGTAGCTTTAGAAGCATAATTTTAAACTGGGATTTGTTTCTTCCTGAATATTTACAAAATGTCTTTTGTCTGCTCAAAAAAGTAAAAAGAAGGGGGGAAAATGACCGTAGCCAGAATTCTATTCTTAAATTTAACCCCTAATATATTCTTTCCTCTTAAAGAATGGAAGACAAAGGAGAAGTGAAGTGCATTAAGTTTTCCTTAGAAAATAAGATTCTGGCTGTGCAGAGGACCTCGAAGACCGTGGTAAGACATCCCTTTCAGGGCAGTGTAAAGAGGCACACCAGGGGTACCTGGGGCAGAGCCATTTCCTGTTTAACCTCAGCCTCTTAAAGATGAGAGTGAGGCTTGAATGGATAAGCAAAGGCTATCTGTCCTTACTTTCTCTCTCTCTCTTCCCAGTAATTTGGAACTTTGGTTGATCGCTAGCAGCGTAGGTGATGTGAGGTGTATTTTGACTGTTTGTGCATCCGCCTCTCTGAAGTAACCGTTTATTCCCAGCTCACCTCGCGGAAGGCTGGATCTGCTAGGAAGCAGTCAATGCCGTGCGGCTTGTGGGCATCTTAGCTCTCTGAGCATTCCCTGTTCCTGGGCAGGAGAGGCAGCACGGCTGGTGCAGATGCGCTCTGCTCTTCCATCAGCCGTGTTACAGTTTCTGCAGAGCCTCTTGTGTCACATAGCTATGCATTTCTCTGAAACCAACCACCTGGGGCGTGAATCTGCACAATCATTTCTAAACTCTATCCTTGATTTCCCAAACTTACTTGGCCTGACACCTCTTTTGGGAGGTAAGGGTTGGGGGGCTGAAATTACCCAGCACCTCCCCTGTAATTAAAAACTTTGGTATTGTAGCCCACTCACTATCCAGGATAAGGTGTAGGGGTTTGCTTTTGCACCCGTTGGGTCGCTCCAGCGCCTCCCAGAGGGCGGATTCTCCCTCTTTGGGAAACACGGCTCCATTTGAATGAACTGAGTATTTGCATTAACCTTTTTAAAAATTGGTTTGTAAACCTGCTGCTGCTAAGGATAATCCACAATGGTCTTTTTCGCTTTCCTGCCTCTGGGTTTCATAGGCTTTTTCCATTGGAGCTTTTCCTGCATGCTGTTTTACAGCCCAGGCCGGCTGGCGTACAGTACAGTACACTGCCGGTTCCAAACCTCTCCACCTATGGCTGTGTGTGTTTGTTTTTTCTTTCAGGATTTTTCTAACTTGATCCCTGATAACTCTCAGCAGGAGTACACACAGGAGTGCAAGGTATGGGCATGGACCACACCCTCCCCTCGGCCACGCTCGGCTGTGTGGTGCCCACATGGTAACATGGTGATGGGCACACCCTGGACATTGCCCTGCTGCTGAGGCCACGCGCCTGTCAGCTCTGTGGTTTGGGACTGTGTCTTAGCCGGGGGGGCCTGTTTCCCTGAGAGCCAGGAGGATCCAGTGGGTGATGGGTGTTAGATCGGTGCTGTTGTTGGCACTGCCGCCAACTGGCTGTGTGTCTGGGTCAGCACTCGTGGGCTCAGGCCAGAGCCTCTTATGTGGAAGCTTGTGGGCAAGGAGTTTTTTCCCTTATGAATTATGCTTGTACCCTTGACCGGTATTTGCCATGCCCTCCTTTCCTCCTTGCCCTGGGTGCTGGTTCTAATCCACACTAATGAGATTTGCTGGGGAGAACAAATCTCAGCTCACGCCGGCAACATGGCTAACTTCAGCAGGCTAGCAAGCTGCTCTCTGCAGCTCTGTAACAACATTGCTGAGTGAGTTCAAGGTTGGCTCCTTCACGTGGAAAGACCCCTCCGGCCAGTGACTGAGCTCCTCACCAGCCCACACTTGTTCTTCGTGACACCCCACCAGCCATCGTCCTGCTGGGCCTCACCAGCCTCAGGCTCAGGGCAGTTCTGGTTGTCAGTGAGCCCAGTGTGGTCTCAGGTCCCCACCCATTGTCCCCATGGGAACCGTTAGCCCCGGATGCTTTTCTTTCTTTTTATTTTCTAATGCTTTTCTGTCGCCTGTTTTTTATTTAATGTTGGTTCCTAAGCAGGGAAGTTAATACCTGTAAACTCTGCTTAGTGACAATTCTAAAAACCTCTGTGGACTGAAGGAATGAAGGTCCAGGGCCTTCAGTGAAGGGGGAAAGTCAGAGCAACTGTATCAAAAAGACAATTTCATTACTTGATAAGTAGTCAGATCGGAGTCACTTTTAGTAAAAACCTAGCAGTGCCAACAGCAGAGCATTTTAAAGCTTTTGAAAAGGATTTATAGGATTTACTTTATTTGGGAGGAAAGAACTAAAAATAACTTTTTCTTACTAAGTAAGAAGTTTTCTGTAATTTTCAGACCAAGAATGCCAACATACTAGGATTCTGCTGGACCAGTTCAACTGAAATTGTCTTTATAACCGATCAAGGAATTGAATTTTACCAGGTATTATATAACTCATTTCTGTTTGCTGTGGAAAGTGCAAGGAGAGAACCTGGCCGCCTTTCAATTCAGCATTAAGTAGACAATTTTGGACTTCCAGAGCTTAGTCTTTTGCTTGGATTTTTAATCGTCCCTAATTATAACTGTGAGGAACCCCGGTTGCTCAGTGGGTTATGCATTGGCCTGCTAACTTTAAGGTTAGCAGTTCAAAACCACCAGCTGCTTTGTGGGAGAAAGATGAGGCTTTCTACTTCAGTATAGAGTTAGCATCTCAGGAGCTATCGGGAGCTGTTCTGCCCTGTCCTATAGGTTCACTCGGGGTTGCTATCAGCTCTATGGCAGTGAGGTTGGTTTTGGAACTATTAATGCAAAATGTGCTTTTATAAACTACTTAAACACTGCCAACTCTAACAGAAAACGTCACCTGTAGCCTTAGAAGTAACTTTTGTTACATGCTCTGGAGTTGGTTCTGACTCTTAGCAACCTTGTGTACAACCAGTGAAACACCGCCCGTCCGCACCATTCACACTTGTTCCCATGTTTGAGCCAGCCCATGTTCCTGGTACCAGGTCAGTTCATCTTGTGAATCTGCCTCTTGTTCACTGATCCTTGACCTTACCAAGCATGGTGACTCCTTCTCTAAGGACTGGTTCTTCCTGGTGACATGTCCAAAGTAAGGGAGGCAAAATCTCTAAGGAGCATTCTGCGCCTGACTGGAGCTGTAGTATTTTCAGTTACCTCATAGGCCTGGAGAAGCTGGACAGTGAATAAGAAGACTGACGAAGAATCGATGCCTTTGAAGTGTGGTGTTGATGAAGAATATGTCCAGAATACTGCTCAGAAGAGAGGACGGATCTGAAAAGGGTCACGTGAGAAGGTCCTGGATGGAGTGGGAGAAACATGGGGACAAAACTCAGAATTATCAAAGAGACCAGGTTGACTGGTTGGGTAGAGATTGATGGAACCCCCCAAGACTAGAGCGGCTATTCACTCTTCAGGGCTGAGCTCACTTCTGTGCCAGAATAGTCCACCGCTTAATTCAGAGGGGCAGCATTCGCTCACGGGGTTAGGAAAGGAGAGGGGATCGAAAGAGGAGCCATGGGGAGGAGGGGGGTGGTGATGGTGCCTGGAGGGGACTGCGGTGGAGGAGCTGAAGCAACATCTGTGTGAATTGTTGGATGTAAAACTGACCTCCAAACCTTCACCTAATTCACAGTAAAAGGCTTTTTAAAAAAAACAGAGGACAGTGAAACTTCCTCTCACTTAGTTTAGAAAGAACGGCCTTGGCTATTTGGGGGCATATTCCTCCAGCTCTTTTTTACGCAGAATAAGCCTTGAGTGAAAAATGGCACTGTTGCTTCTCAACTTTGGCAGCTGGCTTTCCCCCACTCTCCTTTTCTGCATGGCTCTATATCTTAGAGGGGAGAAAGATGAGGCGTTCCACCCCCGTAAAGATCTACAGTCTCAAACCCACAGGGCAGTTCTGCTTGGCTCTGTAGGATCGCCGTGAATTGGAACCGACTGATGGCAAATGAGGGAGTGTGAGCGATTTGGACATCTTTCTGTTTGATTCTTGTAATAAGCCATTGTGCAAACATATGAGGGGGCTTCAGAAAAACTGAAAATGAAAGAATTTTAAATTAAGAGATAATGGAACACCCCAATCCCCCCCCCCCCTTGTGAAGCTCCCTAATACTATTAAGTTATCTGCCCAATTACCCATGGATGGACATCGGGCTTGTGTTTACCTTTTTTCCCCCCTGCAGTTTCAAACAATTCTGCCATGCATGTGCTTTTAAACGTTTCTTTCTAGAGTGGATAAATTGTTGGAAGAGGAACTGCAAGCTAGGAGTGAACATATAAAAAGCTGAACACTGTTCAGTTTCTTCCAGAAACATGTACTTTAATTAACCTCCATTCCCACGTCTTTGCAAGAATTGGTTAATATCACTTGATAACCAAACAAAGCTCTCTTGGAAGAGATACAGCCAGAATATTCCTTAAGACGGGAGTTGGCAAGCCTTCGTCTCCCATGCTCTGGAATGTCGGGAGAGCAATCCCTGGCCAGGACATCGTGCTTGGTAGAGTACAAGGGCAGTGAGCAAGGACAGCCTCAGAGAGGTGGGATGGCGAGGCGCAGACAGCAGTGGGGAGGACAAGTGCGGCAGCTCGCGTGTTGTGCATCGGATGGCCGTGCGTCAGCCAACGCAACAGCACCTCACGGCAGTCAGTGGACATTTACCAGCGTGCGAGGTGGAAATACACGTCGTGTTTGTCGTGCTGGAGGAGCTCAGGGTCTTTCGTGTGCACACTGTGTGCTTGTATTTCTTGTGCGGTGAACGGCCTGACCTGTGGAGGGGGCAAGACGGTGCTGTGGGTAGGGCTCCTGCCATGGCCGTCAGGATGCTGTGACAAGGGCTGCCGAAATGCTGTGGAATTTGTGGGTGGAAGAGACATGCCTGGTGAACATAGGAAGGGTTGGCGTGGTGGGGCTCTGGAGCTGGGCCGTCACCAGTCTTTGTAATGGCCAGCAGAAATAAAACCAACTTGAAACGGGCCCCGGAAGGCAGACAGGACGTGTGCAAATGCTTGTATCGGAAGGATTGCTCGCTCTACAAAGAGTTTCACACTGTAATCGTGCAGAACTACCTTCCTCTCTGTTCTCTGTAGTGGCAATGTCTTCAGATCTACTTTAAGAAATAAGTTAAAAAGAAAGGCATCTTGTTCGCAGCCATCAGGTCGACCCCTGCCTCACGGGGACCCCAGGCACAGTGGAACAGAACAGTGCTGGTCCTGCACCATCCTTCTCAGAAACAGAAAAACAAACTCACGGCCATCAAAGCCACTCTGACTCTGTTGGACAGTCAGGCTGCCCCTGTGGGTGTCCAAGGCTGTAAATCTTAACCGAAGCAGAAAGCCTGAGAAGCGCCTATGAGTTCGAGCAGCCATCCGTGTAGCACATCCTTATTTAATTGTACTGGGATCTCAGGCTCCTCCTCTCCCAGACTGTTACATTGATTCCTTAGGGCTGCGTTCTTTCTGGGAATGTTACCTTCTTAGGGGCAGGGGAGTGCTGTGCAGTGTGCCAGCTAGTATCAGGATACTCAAACACTGCTTTAAAAATGCATTAAACATCATGATTGTGCACACAGTCTCATGTACAGATAGCTGTATTGGAAACAGCGAGCCCCTCCCACAGCCTGTGCAGCCTGGGCTTCAAGTGGGTCCCAGGCAGAAGGCAGGTGTGCTGCAAGCCGGGAGGGCTGTTGCGGCCGAGCTCTGAAGAGGCTGGTGTGTGACACTTTCTGGAATGAGTGGAATTGTGTTGCTCCTTGCTGGAGAAGGTGGAGAGTCCCCTATGGCTCTCATGGCTTTGATAAACTGGCAGATTCTGTAGCCTCTTTGAGGAGCCCTGGTGGCATAGTGCTTACTAGCTGGTCGAAACCCCCAGCCGTTCCTCGTGAGAGTGAGAACGACCCCTAAGAGTTAGACTCTCAGCCACTCACAGGGGCGGTCCTGCCCTGCCCTACACGCGCATCCACTCGGTGGCTGTGAGTTTGGTAGCCTCTCTGAGCCTTCCATCTTACCTGGCAAGAAGAGCTCCGGAGGGCCCCTCAGGGGTGTCCAGAAGAGTAAGCACCTGCTGTCGAGAGCCCTCGGTGGCCTCACCGTGCTTACACGTTGGGCTGCTGATCTCACAAGGTCAGCCCCTCCTGTGACGAGTTAGCCCTGGAAATCCACAGGGGGCAGATCCGCTCCATCCTATAGGGACACTCGGAGTCGGAATCTACTCTGTCCACAGCAGGGAGGTGTTCGGTTTGAGAATAAAGCGCTCAGTACGGAGCATGAGAAGTGGAAGCTACTGCCATTGGGAAAAATGAAAATGTGCCCTTGAACTTCACGGTGGCTTTCCCATCTTAACGCTCTGCACCACTCTCCCGGCATTTTGTGTCTTCAGGTGGTTTTGTTTCTTGCACTCTGCCTCAGGTTTTACCCGAGAAGCGCAGCCTGAAGCTCCTGAAGAGCCAGAGCCTCAATGTGAACTGGTACATGTACTGTCCCGAGAGCGCCGTCATCCTGCTCTCCACCGCCGTCCTGGGCAACGTTCTGCAGCCTTTCTACTTCAGGGTAAAGGGCCTTCCCCTGCCACTAGAGGGCAGCCTGCCAGCCCATCGACTCCCCAGTGAGCCTGCCTGATGGAAGGCAGGTGGGAACTGTACAGGCAGGGGGCTGGCAAGGATTGCGGGGAGGGCACAGTGCGCAGTCTCACTGACTGTTCGTTGAGAATGCTAGACTACCTCAAGGGTTCAAGTCAACTGTTCTAAAACACCTTTCTCCTCCTTAAACAGGGTGTCACCATGTTGAAGCTGCCCAAGTTTGAGATTGAACTACCAACGGCACCCAAGTCAACAAAACTTAGCCTTTCGGAAAGAGATATCGCCATGGCTACAATGTATGTCGGTTTGGGAAACTCCTCTGGGTCAATGGGTCTTAATGGGAGTACCAGAAGGAGTGCTCTGTAAGCAGTGATATCTGTGCTTAGAACACATAGTGAGACGTACCCCCACCCCCACTTACAAACCAACAGCCCTTTGCCATCAAGTAGACCCTACAGGGTACAGTAGAAACGCACCTTAGAATCTCCGAGACTGTACATTTTTATGGGCGCAGACAGCCTCGTCTTTCTCCCAGGGAGTGACTGGTGGGTTTGAACTGCCAACCTTGTGGTTAGGAGTCCACTGATTTCCCTGCTGCACCTCCAGGTGCCATTGAGCCCACTTGGTGCCCATATTTTATAATTGTCGAAAAAAAATTGGGGGGCATTTTTTTTAAACTAGCATTGTGATTTCATGGGAGGATTTTCTCCAGTCCAGGCTGATAAAATGAGAACGTTGAATCGCTTTATTTCTTTGTTACCATTCCATTTTAAGATTTTTCTTTTTCTCTGTGTTGCATCTTAGCCAAGGATTGTTTACTTTTGTTTTTTTTAGCTAAAATATTGTAATTGGTAAAATAAGAAAAGAATGTGTTCTTAATCCAATCAACATGGAAGTCAATGAGTTGACATCAGAAAGTATGTTATATTTGGAAAGCCAGTATCTCCACTTTACATTATGAAAATTCTAAACCTGCTAACCAGAACCCTCTCTCCCCTCCACTCATAACCCAGAGTCATCAGTTAGCCAGCTTTTCTTTCTGAATTACTTCGAGTCTTCTGTGGCCTGCATGCCAGTTCCCAGACTTTGTACATATTCGCAGCAGAATGCTCTTCTTCTTTCCCTTTGGAGGGTACCTGTTGCACCCTTTGGTTCAGGAAACAGGTGAACTGGGATCCATCCTCGTGGTGGGGGAGGTGGAGGAGCTGCTTGTGTGTCTCCCTGAACTTCCGCCAGGGGCCCAGGAGCAGAAAGTCGTCTGGGGACAGCTTCACAGCACTGCCCACTTACAAACGCGTATTAATTACATTTCAAATGCAGAACATTAGAGGAAAGGAAAGCAGAGTTAACTTATCACTCAAAGCCAACCGTCCACAAGCTGTAGTTCCACTTTTTTTTAAAACCCTGCCTAGGTTTGTGCTTCTCTTTTTAAGTCATTGTGAGCAAGTGGTATTTGACTTTGCTTTCCACCGTTCACTCAACTGTCTCATGGGCTTTTCCTGGCCAATGGTTCTTTTTCTGTAAACGTTTTTAATTGGCTGCCGAGTTAGCGACTAGCTCATTATTTATTTCATGCCGGCCGGAGCAGTCAGCGTCTGGAAGGGGAGGGATTTTGGTGGTCAGGTGTGACTTGTGTGTGTGTCCTCTAAATAGATACGGGCAGCTCTACGTGCTGTACCTGAGACACCATTCCCGCACCTCCAACAGCACCGGTGCCGAAGTCGTCCTGTACCACCTGCCAAGGTAACCTCCCAGCCCTCCCGCTTCTTCCCGTCCCTGATTTTAAAATACAAACCCGAGCCCATCAGCCTGTTGCTTGACCACTGTGTTCTCCTGCAGAGAAGGCGCCTGTAAAAAGATGCACATACTGAAGTTGAATAGGACGGGCAAGTTCGCCCTGAACGTGGTGGACAACCTGGTCGTCGTTCACCACCAGGACACAGAGGTAGGGATTTCAATCCTGTCCACCCATGTTCGGGTGTCACGAAAGGGCTTTGACAATCGTAGACCTTTCTGACCCAAGGATTTTTCTGATGCTGAAAGTTTTGGTCTTCCAGGTGGAAACCTGGGCTTGATATTCTAAAGTGGCGATTCTCAACCTCGGGGTCAAATCACTGTTTCACGACCCAAAGGGGTTGCCCGATTCATAACAGTAGCAAAATTATATTTATGAAGTAGCAACGAAAATAATGTTATGGTTGGTGGGGGGTCCACCACCACATGAGGAACTGTATGAAAGGGTCGTGGCGTGAGGAAGGTTGAGAACCGCTGCTCTAAAGGGTCCTTACAAGCTGTGATTCCCCTTGGGTTGACTAGTGTAACCACAAAGCTGCTGAGGCCGTTTGCCACCTGTGCCGCACTGCCGCCCACGTGCCGCGGGAGGGAGGGAGCGAGGGAGGGGAGGCAGGCTTCGTGGTTCAAGAGAAATAGGATGGCTTGCCACTCCTAGGCCCTCATTAATGTCATTAACTGGGGGAACGTGAGAACGGGCCGCTGACAAAGCCCAGGTGGGCGTATGGATGACTGGCGGATGAAGCAGGGCTGAGCTATGGTGGAAAAGATCAGTGTAGAGCACTTGGCGCTCTTCAGAGGAAGCATGCCCTCCACACCAGAAGTATCTGTGAGAACACAGACACGTGACGTGGAGTTCCTCAAATCCGAGCTCCAGAAAGAGTGCAGAGACCGAGTTCAGAGCAAGATGCAGTGTAGCGGAAAGAAGGCTCGGCGTCACACTCTTCTTCTTCTGTGCCTTAGACGTCGGTCATATTCGACATCAAGCTGAGGGGCGAGTTTGACGGGGCGCTTACCATCCACCACCCGGTGCTGCCGCCGAGATCCATTCAGCCCTACCAGCTCCCCGCCGCAGGTGAGGTGGGCCCTGGGGGGAGCCTGCCCATGCCACCAGCTCGCTCAAAATGACCTGAGGCGTGTGTCCCCAGAGATCCCCAGGGGTATTTACTCGATGATTCTGTTATGCTTTAGAAAAAATTCTACGAAGTCCAAAAGCTTTACTTAAGGTGGTTGTGTCAGGTTAATGAACTTTCGTTTAGAGAAAATAAGCATTTCTCTTGCCCAGCTTTAAAATGGAGGGCTGTGCTTACTCACGAAAGCTGAAGCTTGTTTTTCTTTCTTTTTTTTTTTTAGTTTGTTTTCTTTTTTTTTTTCTTTTTTAACATTTTATTAGGGGCTCATACAACTGTTATCCCAATCCATACACACATCAATTGTGTAAAGCGC